TATGATCCTTGAAAAAGGAAGTGTTTGAGATCGTCATTGGCAGAGAAAACCTGGGATTACATTGCAGCTTATCGTTTAGTTTAGTAATGTGCTTTTCAGATTGTGTTTTTCAGACTGAAGTTTCCCGTCGAGAACTCATTAATCAATGTAGATGGTAGGTACTGCAGAGTTTTTTGTCGCGACAGAAAAATGTGGATGCCAACGGTGACTAACAAGATACAAATTGCTTGCATTGTTACGAATATATTCAAGAGCTGCCGTTTTGAATGATTTTTTTTGACTAGTACGAAAATTCTGTAAGTTTTCAAAATGTTGAGGATTCCGGTTATACAATCGCGAACAAGGCGAAGACTTCAAGACGATGGCCGATCAAAAGTTGCATAAAAATTTCGTAGAAGCTGATGAGTAGAACGGACTATTGCTGAGGAATGTATTTTCCCAGCATTGCTGGAGATTACGACGATATAAAACCCGCAAAGTGAAAATTTTGTTCGATTTTATCGTTGTCACAAATAAAGACTACCTAGTCTACTTGTACTCGCTTGTCCTATGGGTCAAAAATTTTTCACGCTTATTCTTCTTATCTTTCAATGGTGGAGTAATATGAAATAACAAAGAGTAAAGATAAAATTAAAGGAACCCGCCTCACTCCATTCCTCAATCGCTTTCTCTCGCTCTTCCTTCCAGTGCTCCTCTTCCTCTTCCATCAGTTCATTTGACAGCTCACTGAGATGTAGTTGGTGATGATGAGTGATTGGAATAGACAGACCGAACAGAGAGTTGGGGATTCAATCAAATGAAAAACAAATTAGCACTCTAAAACATCCAAAACAATACATAACATATATAATATTTAAGACTAGAGTAGTAATGATTCTCGATTTTAAGATAATCATGGCAATTAGCGTGGATAATATTCAAAATTCAAAATCCAATCGAAAAATCTAGCACAAATCTGCCGTATCCTATCATAAGTGACAATTTTCCATGTGTCTCGATATCTTTACCCTTTCGTAATAGACAGCCTTTTCTTTTTTATGTCTGTCAGGAAATATGTTATCGTTAACTTAGTACGATAAACTTTTATTCAATCAGGAAAGTGATATTCATTGATTCAGTGTTAATTTCACTTAACAGACAATGTGTCGTCGCCTACCCTTAGTATAGAGAACTGAGAGCTCCTAGAGGATTTGCAAAAGACGAAAGAGTAACACCCAACTGATGAGACTGCCAAGATCGAAACACGTGTATCGGGTTCTATAAGTCAGTTCTATAAGCCTATATAACAGACCCACGTAACAGCGGCTCAAAAGTGATTATCTGGCATATTGAAGTTTGAGAGTGGTCTTAAGAAAGCAGTTGAAACGAAAGATAATCAGGAAAGATTACAATCAACACATCCTGTCAATGAGGAAGAAGGACGGTTTATTGCTGTGGCATAAAAAGCGGAGTCTTCGTATTTGACGAGCTTTCAAAAAACCTTCTCCTGCACTATGTCGGTTGTGTGAGGCATTTTTCCGGAAGGAAGTTATCAAAATGCTCAAAGAAATGGTAGGCGGTGGGTTCGAGGTCCGACAGATATGGAAGATAAGACAAAGCTCCATATTCCAATCCGCTGGACTCTCTAAGAGTTTTTGCGCGGCATATGGCTGTCGGCTGGCTGTGATTACACTGTAACTACTTTTCAATAAACCTTTTTCACCTTTCGAATTTGCTTTAACGGCGTACGACCGCAGATTGGTCGATGTTGAGTCTCTCCAAAATCTAGTGCAGTCTTAAGGGGATCAGCTTCGACGAATGCTCTCAGCTGATCACTGACATCTTCCCGTGGCCAAGCACTACATTACTTATCTTTAAGGCTCTCGCCTCCTTTACAAAAATTTTCGAACCATCGCTACACTATATGTTCGTTAGCGATTCCTGGGCCAAATGCTTTACTGATGTTGTGAATTGTCTCTGCTACACCATGACACATTTTGAACTGGCGGTGTGTAACCGCAATCACTTAAGCACCGAACATCTTTTTCGTAGTGTAGAAGGATATTAAGAGAACATCAATAAAACATTATTAGAAACGAAAAAAAACACAAATAAAAAATGCGTCGTGAGTCACATAACATAACCACATATATTTGAGATTTTATTGAAAAAATCAAACGGAAAAATTTCAACAATGTATTAACCGCCATTAGTTTTGCATTAACGTGGTACTAAACCAATACTTTCAAAACGACGACCATCCACGTTGGGATTGATTGGCCGTGAAAAATTTGATGAAGACTTTTTCTATAGAAACAGCTTTCATAGACTACTAACCTATTTGCTTTTAGTAAATCAGAAAGGGATTGTCGAGTTATGTGAGGTACAATTAACTGTGACTCACTGTAGCGATTGAAATTGCAATAATAGTGAACTACAAGCCAAATTACCGATCAGTGAACTTTTTCGAAAAAGTTTTATATCTAGTTTCAAGTACAGAAAAGAGCTTTTCCCTACTGACGCCCGCCACATCGACTATGGTGAATAGGCAATCGATTGATAATGAAAAGTGTAGTAAAACAGTTTTGTACTAAAATAAACTACCAACAATAGTGAATTTATAATGGACACCATGTCCTACAACACATATTCAATCGAAATCACGTCGTCGCGTAGTTGTTAAAAAGTGATCGCACTTAGCACATTGTAACATTTCTTTAGATCCCTGCATAGTCCCTACAACGAGTGATAAAAGATCAGTATCTTGACAATAACGCCACAAACACATGTCTAAAAAGATTACGACTTCCTCTTTCAGCGAATCCTCCAATTTCATCTGTTCATTTTGAAGACAGAGGTTTCCCATGAGTTGACTTTTTAGCGAGCAGTTTCTTGTTCTATTTTCGTTCTTGTATTGTTCAGCTTCTTAAGGATTTTCTTCGCATCACCGCTACTTCTCAAGTAGCTAAAGCCATCGTGAAACGAAAATATGGTTGGTACATTTGCCATCAATGCCTGAGCCCATCCCTTTATAATCGATCGACATCTTTTTTACGGATCGGAGACTGTGTTCACTTCAGACAAGATTTCACCACTAAAATTTCCTGTTCCAATGGGGAAGGCACTAGCTCTGTAGAAGCTTCCTTTTCATGACACTGTTTCAGTTTGCCGATTTTCTCCTATAAGACGAGTCAATTTTCTGGTCGACGAAAGCTGATAGAATGCATTCGTCTCGACTATATGAACTACTTTTAATGAACGATAATACTCTAAACTAAATTAAAATGGTAGTTCCGAAAGATTTCTATGGCAACGGTACCCGATCGGATGTGACGCACATTCCAAAACTTCTCTCGGGCATTTTGTGTGCAATGCGTTGAACATAGTAATGTTCGTGGAAAGCTTCGAAGGACTCAAGATGATCGTGCAACCGTTGTTCAGACCTCTTCGTTTATTCCTCTGAGACATCTTCACCATGCGGGAAGGAAGTCCGTCATATATTATCGTATAGGTCTCAAGAGTTGCAAATCGTCATAACTATCGTCTCTAGTGTGGTTCCGAAGGCGAAAATTAGTGGAAGAGAACTTTCCCGCTACATGTGGTTAACTCCTCAAAAGAATACCAATGTGATATCTTTATATCGTTTTCCAAGCGTTTTACATTTCGATCTTTCACTGTGCCGTTATATGCCGTTTCGTAGGAATATTTTGCACCTCATCGTCCGTGTACTGCATTTTACAATTAGACCAACTTTCTTCCGCCTATTAAGTGAATCAATTTCTAATTCTGAATGGATACGAGTCTAAGTGAATCAATTTCTAATTTTGAATGGATACGAGTCAGCTTTCTGATTGGAAACTAAGGAACATTCGACTTAGCTTTGGAGTTCTTAACAACTTACGTGTGGAGTTCCTCGCTGTGCGAATCATTTAGGAGAAGAATTCCATCAAACTCCCTTTATTTGCAGTTTGTAGGCACGAGAAGTTAAAAGAGGCTTTTTATAGAGTGCAATACAGAAATAAAAGACTACAACGTCGTCAAGTACAATGTCATGATTTTGTTCTTGTGAAGATGTTGTCGAACAGCAATGATTCATATTGTCAGGCGATTCACAAAGACAGCTAGCAAGAAAATTTCTATTTAGGAAACATCGAAACTTTTTCCTAATGGCATTGACGGTTGCAAAAACAAAACTGTGGAAAGAATTTTTCATGAGATGAGATCTTTCAGCTGATAACACTATTTACTTCGCTTTTGTCAGTCGTAGAAGTTACGAATGAAATAGTCCTTCTGATATGAGTAGAAAAAGAGGATGATAGGATTTCGTGATGTTTGAAGACAGGTGTAAGGGGCGAGTGTAAAACAAAATCTGCGCTCACTGACATTTCGTTACGAAATCTCTCTACAGCTCTCAACGTTTGATTAGCATAAGTCTTCCTTCTTATTCTGTCGATTCCAATATTTTCATTTTATGATAGGGTCCGTGACTTTCAGGAGACTGTGAAGATTGCTCGGAGGACGAGTAGCTACTAATAGTAAAATAACAAGGGAATCAGCCTGGACAAGTGTGGTAGCGATTTTCTGACCCCCTAAAGACAAAAGAACTTGTGAGCTCGGAACTCAGATTCGATCTAGAGGCGGATCTAGTGCATATATCAACGCATGTGTGGCCACACGCGCTCCTGTGTCATAATTATAGAGCGAGAGTTTCGAGAGGTTTTTGTTAGCGGTAGTGAGAACGCGTTGTTTTAATCTAGTTTCAGTAATGTCCTCTGAAACTGCAGATTTGAACGGCAGTCATGATTTTCTCACCGATCAACATTGCAAACGAACCAGCAGACATGCTACTGAGAATACTGAGTTTTTGGACAAAGGATTTCTGCCAAGAGTCCTACAGTACCAGTACTTTTTCAAACTGATGCTACTAGCAGTGTTCGAAATTTCTAGTATTTCACTGCCTTTTTTCGCAATTTAGAATGTTTTATATACACCTAAGAGAATTGAGTGGTGAGCAGAAATACGACCTCGTGCGGAAGTCGAACTCGCGTTTCATCCATACCAGGGACGCGTGCTACCACTACACCACAGAGGTGCATGCGCGCCACCACTCATTCTTCACTATCTTCATGATAGCTGTCCCCGGTATGGGCGAAACGTGGGTTCCCGTTTGGGGTCGCATATCTGCTAACAACTCAATTCTCGTAGCGACTAATAGTCATCGCTTCTTCTTAATTAGGCGGAAGTGGACTACCTTGCCGCTCGAAGTCGGGTTTCCAGATCTGTCAAACTCGAACTCGACTTTGATGGCAATTTTCCTAGTACACACGGCAGTAAAAAACCAAGTTTGTCTTCAATTATTTCGAGGCAGATGGTCAACCACATTAGGGAATGATTATTCCAGCAATATGGCTTCATGCGATCACGAATACCCTCCTCGGAAGAATGAAGAATTGTAGAGAATTAACTTGAATCAACCTGGCTGTGATGAATACGAAGGCAACGAAGTATCGATCCAACAAGCTTTTTTATTAGTTTTGTATTAGATTACCAATGAAAATTACTTATCCCCATCAAGTCTGTTTTTGTAAAAAAGCAAAGCCTACGGAATTATACTGTGTCGCACAAGTAGGATACTGCCTAGTCTCGTCGACTTGATTTTTACAATCTTGGCAGCTCCTTTTCAGAGGCTGCTACCCAATTCCATTCTCCAGAAAGAAAAAACATCTTGTTGAGCGATTTTTCGCTCCGTGAAATGATGGAAAAACTAATGAATTACATAACCTGATAAATGGATAATACAATGTAACGTCTTTCACGGTAATCTACACGATAATCTAAGGAAAAAAAAACCAAAAAAAAAAACGAAACGTTTTATGGACACAAATTGCGTCCTGCTAGAGTACATATTTTAAAATGTAGAAAATAATGTCCTGTCCAAAAGATGGAACTTTCATAGGCAACTATGAAATTCGTGACGCGGAGACTTCAATTCGTCGTTGCTATGGAGACTTCCAGATACTGGTTCTTGCTAGATATTGTTAGCAAAACAAAATGCAGAATGAATCTGAGTCTAACGAGTGGAATGTAGTTCGAAATAGGTTGATTGAGTTCTTGGCATTGATCAATCTCTAAATGATTTTCCATACAATCGACTCATCAAGGATCGTTAGAGGTGATTGAATGCATGTCTGGCATTTACAATGACTCATGGCGACCTACCGACACCTCAAGCACTGCTGTTATCCTTCCGCCCAAGTCTGGTACCAATACGGTGAACCAGGATGGATGGAGGATTTGTGAGCGTTGAGCGCACGATCGAACCATCGACCACGTGTGTAGCACAGAATATCTCTATCTAAAGCGCCATACACGTTCGATTGTTATAAAATCTTAGTTAGGATCATGATGTAATTTATGAACTAATGAATAATAGATCCTTTCATTTTATTTGAGCCAATATGTCACGTGGTCTGGTAAGGGCTCTTGTACAGCCCGATACACGTAAAGGTATAATATGATGAATAATAAATCTAAAAAATTAAATGCGAATTTAATATAATCACTAATGGGATAAGCTCGTGTGGCGCAGTGGTTAGAAAAGCTTTTCATCTCATGTAATTGATCAATCAATAATTGACGATCCGATCCTACGCTCACGCTCATCAAGCCTCCCATCCCTCCATGGTCGTTGATTGGTTCCAAACTTGCCTGCCAGAATAGTACTTATTTCGAAGAAGATTTCGACTTCTCTTCCATATACTTTTCTCTCATTTTATTTTTTGGTTGCGACTGTTAATCACTTAACAGCACATCGTTGGTGTCGCAAAATGCTCATAAGTCTCTTATTTGTATGGATTTCGATGAGCTATTCTTTTACATCACCACCGCAGGAAAACTTTCAAGGTCGCCTGTTTGATTTCACTTGAGATCTATGCTTTCAGTATAAGATTGATCACGAGTACTTGGATCGACGATCCAATCTCAGAAATCGCCATGAACATTTTTTGACGGGATGGCGATCACTTCGTTGTTGCGGTCGACACACGAATTTCTTTGTGCTTGAGATTTTTTTCTTCGAACGACGATAGTTTTAAATAATTGGACAAATATTCCTGTATATTCGTCACAGTGTTGTATTACACCAGATGGCTTCTCTATACAAATACCAACTGAACTCAAATTTCTTATGAAACTGTTTTTGATCTTGATAGCTATTCCTGAGCCATGCATATCTATGGGAACCTACTGTGCTATACATGCGTTTCGGACTTGCACAGCCTCGTCAGTAGCACAGTGCCTTTCGTCTTAGCCAATCCCTCTCGCGACATGTGCGCTGTATAAGTGCCCATAACAGACCATATACATGGCTCGAAAATAACTATCAGGCATATTGAGATCTGATCGTGGTCTACAGAAACACTCAAAACGAAAGGTATGTCTGTAAGCTGTTATCTTAATGTTTCCTCACACTTTACAACAGTTTAGTGTGAGGGAACAATAAAACACTTTACAAAAGTCAAACAGCGCCGTTTTTAATAGTATTTGATTCACACTTCACCTAGACTTCAACTGTATCACAGCATATTCGTCAACTAGTAATGTCATCCGTTAAATTGTCCTTGTCCCAGTCGTAGATACGACAGTGGCCTGATTTGCATCTAATGTTCTTGAGATACTAATCACTAGATAATAGTAGTGTACTTAGTCTTCTGGATCTTTGCAAACAGTCCCAGGAGCACTGCAGAACGTCTAGCAGTGAGCAGTGCATGAGTGTTCCACCACCGCGTAATTTGAATTCTTCAATCTAACACCTCTGCTGTTAGAGTTTGTGCGATTGCCCTTTCTATTCCATAGAGACGGTCTTCCGGCAGGAGTTTGTTATGAAAATAGAAATGTTGAGACGGGTTTAGAATGAAATAATTTATGATGGAAGAATGTAAACGCATCACAATCAGCGCACGGAAAACCAAGGTTTATTCTCAAGAGGAAATGACTTTGCTATGAAAAATTAAATCGTTGCATTTTCTATATAGAATCAGCTCAGCCGACGGGGTGTTATATTGGCACGTGTTCCTTTGCATTACAGTTTTGAGACACATCTGAAGAAATCTTAACCTCTAAAGCTGGTTACTGTTTCCTCGATTGGAAATGTTTGTGAGGTCTAACTGGAAGACGACCTGACTGATTTGTGCTGAAAAGAATGGTTCCTGTTAGCTCAGATACGGTTTTGAGCAACACTTATACAAAAGTAAAACCGCGTTTAACAAAGATTTAAGTGAATGGGCAGCACATTGTAGAGCACCCAAATATCTTTCGCGGTATATTTGTGGCATATTTTGCAGATACCGGTAGATCCGCACTGTTTCTAGTAAAATTTATTTCAAGTATTATCATTATAGCGTATATTGCACATAGAAAAAGTGATGCAGCTGGAATCACAAGAGCATAAAATATCGACCAAGAAAGATCAAGCACTTATGATTACATGTTGTAAGTGATGGATAGCCGCTGGAGTAGTAATTATACAAGTTCACCACGACATCTGAGATTATTACTGCTCATCTTTGTCTTTTGTGCCATGTTTCAACATACGTGTGAACTCCACGTAGTCAAAATATCCATTTTTGATCGGAGCATCACGGAATAACTCATCAACCTAGAATAAATGCCCATAATAACAGCGTTTACTATCAATCATAAAAATAGAAATCTATCGATCACATCGATCCAGTGCAACCACTTCGTCATTCGGGTCTCGACAGCCTCACCTAAGGTCTGCTGATCAAGAAGTACTATACCTATTCAAACACCTCAATGAAAACACACTTTGCGAGCTTTACTTCAAAAATACTAGGCAGTGGCCTTTCCGTGAAAAGAAAAAAATCGTGTCACTGAGAGATTGTAACAAAGTTCTTGAAAATATAAACCAAAGTAAATATAATTAAAGAGACCCTGCCAAATTGGATAAATGTGACGCCGTGATTAGGAGTGCTCTGCGACAAACACGTGGGTTAATGAATCGATGGTCGATAGTTCAATGGCGCGCTTAAAAATCACTAAACCTTCCATCCCTTCGGGGTTTATAAGTTGATGCCAGATTAATAGCACTGACTCGACGCATCATTGAGCCACCTTGTGTCATTGTGAGGACCATGTATGAATCCATTCACCACAAACAATGCTAGATGAAAACGAATGACAGTGCATCCCTCACAGATTGAGTAACGCCGAAAGCTTCATACTTTACTCTTCAGAGCTAAATTAGCTGAAATTAGTTATAGATTAGAAGCTTAAGAAAATTTGTTTGGTAACTCCAGCAACAGAAGTGAAAGGTCCACCGTCAACAAAAATGAGACCTACTAGAAGTCAAGAAAACTCCTAGAAAATCTTAGATCTCAAGACACAAGTCGTACATTCAATATGTAAAAAACCATGCCAAAGAGCAAACAACTAGAATGGCAAGATAAGTCAATAAAATCACAACGAAGATTGAGGTAAAGTATAAACTATTGACTTACAAACATAGAGGGACATAATAATGAACAAATCGCCCACTTTTTCTGACTTGACGATGTTCTCAGCTCTATACTATGCAACTGAAAACGTGTATTGGTGCTCCAATCACGCAATAACAATGTTTATTTGTGCAGCTCAAATCTTCGGTATCCATCCTGTCATCGACGTTCGGGAGGATATCGATCATTGTCAAAGCACAGATGGCTCGATTGCATACAGTGAAAAAGGTATTATTTATGGGCGGAAGGAACTGGAATGTGAATTCCATGACAGTGCATGTTTGCTCAGGCAAGCACAACGCTGACGAAATACTACATTTGCAGACGAGAACGATTTCTGGATCAGAGAATGTACCTCATGAATGCTACTATCTTCAAAAGAGACCGCCATTGTGGACGATTACTCTTTAAACGAATGGAGGATGTGCTCAGAGCCACACTTCTTGTGAAGATGGGCCATTCAAATATCTATGTAACTGATAGCAAACCAAGCGAATTGACGAGAAACTTTAAGATTATCCTCAGTTTCAAGCAAACAGAAAGTGGAGCAAAGATAGAGACGAACTTGTCTTTAGCA